ATAAATATACTATTTAAAATTTAAAAATATAAATCATAAGTATATTTATAATAATTTTCTAGGCAAATTTGTCTACAGATTAAGGAATAGTTTTGATTATAATTTATTATTCTATATAACATATTTTCTAACTATTGGTTGATTTTATCGCGACTTAGTCGATTTTAAGATAGACTATATTAAAAATCACAGTAACCAATCAAATTTAAGCCAAATCGGTGGTTTACATTACCCATCCCGAAATTCCGATACGTTCCAATACTTTCCGAAAGTTAAATATCGACTTAGTCAAATCAGGTCAAAATGATGTATGTAGTAAATTAAAAAAAATATAACGATTAAGAAAGTATACTTTATGAAAGTAAATAAATTAAAATTATATATTTTTTACTATCTTTACATTACCATTACAAAATTTGCAAGTTATATCATTTAAAAACACCACAAAGAGGTGTAGAATCATATTCAAAAAGAAAGGCAGAAGATTATAGACGTTATACAATATTAGGTTTAGAATTAGATAAACTGTAACAAAAAATTTTAGATGCAACTATATGCAATTATATGCAACCATATGCAACTATATGCAACAATTTTTATGGAATAAAAAAAAAAACGAGACTGAAGACTTTTTTATATTAGAAGAAACCACAATGGTAAAAATTAAAAAATTCGACGTGTCGAATTTTTTAATTTTTACCAGTGCCAGAAATAATAAAAGTTTTATTGAGAGTGATTCGCTAATGCAAGCTTTAGATAAGGATAGTGTTGATTCTAAACTTGTTAAAAACAAATTTAAATTTGACGTTGACGCTTTAGTAGATAACTTCGATCTTTGAGAATTGTTAAATAAGTTGAATAAATATAAACTGCATTTTTATTTGTTAGTTCATATATACGTATGAGTAATAATTGTTATCAGCTATATAATGATGCTAACAACTGTCGCTATTAAAATTTATAATACAAAGTTGCGGTAGTTAATTTAGATTATGGCGCGCATTTTAGATTTCGTGTTTTGCTTCAGATTTAGAGTGGTTGGCAAGCTGGCGAGGCGAGCTTTTTTTTTTAGCTCGCCAAATAGTGGCGAGAGTCCCGCCACTATTTGGCGAGTTAAAAAAAAACTCGCCTCGCCAGCTTGCCAACCACCCTATTCAGATTGCAGCATAAATTACGGCTTGCGGCTTTATTTCTACCTAACGCTAAAAAATCGGTGCTTAAATATTTTCGATACAGCCGCAACTATAATTTTGGTAATTTTGGGGTAGAATTTATTCTATATATCCTAACCCTATAATCCTAAAATTCTAAATTCCGTCCCCACTTGCAACACATATGTGTAGGTTTGACTGTATATAGTAAATAAATAAATTTATGACCAGATTCGTGTAACATGCTTAGTTAACAATCATATATATACGTACAATAGTCGAAAAGAGATGTTTTCTTTAAACATTTTGACCATCGTATGACCAAAACGTGCTAATGTGCCAATAATTATAACCCGATTCAATAATGAACCAATCGTCGGTTTTTTATGAGTGCCGAGGTGATGCAACACGCGTCCTACACAATGGTTTGAAAACATACCGATACTAACACTCAGATGCACACACATGCATACCGGTAGATATAAAAGCATTAATTCCGATCAATGTTATAAGATCCCATAATTTTATTGTTTTTAATATAAGAATTCAAATATCACCTAATTAAAAGTTTTTCCTTAAAAGGGTGCGTGGCGATATTCCTTTACTTACAAGGGATATCAAATGCCACATGAACTTTACTGTTCATGCAGAATCGTCATCAAGAGATTTTGCGCACAAAATTTTTTGAGGTTAATGGGTGGTTGTCCTGGCTTCGCTCAAGCCGACGCCGCTCTCCCTTATTATGCTTGAGTGGTGGGTGGTGTCTTAGAATTTTACAAATACGCGCAACCGTCGGAGGTGCACGCATCATTCATCGACGTGAAGATCCATATAAAATCTATACTTCGGAATACTCAATTTGATGTATAATTTGCTTTTTAGATATGATTGATCCAAAAATGAACTTTATAATCGTGCTGCGGTCAAATGTTTTTTTTTTTTGATCATCACATCATTGTGAATTTAAGATAGCGCCGATTAGCTAAATTTATACCCACGGTGCAGTTGAATTCGTTACCTATTGTTGTTTATTACTGCATTCAGATATTTGGAGAAACAGAAAAATATATAAATATAGACTGATAAAATTTGTGCGTAACTAGTGCATATTTCTTTTTTCACATCTTTTTTTTCACAGATTACTGTATATAAATTTTGTAAATATTTGATCATCATCCTTTTTAATTCATTTGCAATTTAGTACCATCGTTCGAGACATCATGACGCGACAAAATATTCCCCAGAGTGTACAACGAGATTCTACTTCTCTCCAAAATATTCCTGATAATACATTAAGAAGTGTCTCTCGGATTACTAATCAAAACAATACTCTTCCAGACAAACTTCAAGATATTCAAAAAAATATCAACTGTCAAGAAAATTGTCAGCAAATAATTGCAGACAATGATACATTACATGAAACATTTAAAGATGTTCATACAAAATTTAATTCTCATCCTTATATTACCCCGCCAGATACTCCAAGTGAAGATACGTCTCCGTACTATAAGTCTG